AGCACACCAGAAGGGTGTGATCTGTAAAGTGCTCTACTCTTGTGTGCAGATCCAGCTGGTGCACTCTAAGGATACCTAGTTTATATTAATGTACTCCTATGTTAATACAATCTAGATATTTTAGAATGCACTAGCAGAGTTTACACAAGGCAGTTAGAGTGCAGAACATTAGAGCACTTTACAGATCACACCCTTCTGGTGTGTTTTGCCAGTGCCACGTAGACAAGCCCTCGGACTCATCGAGAGTTGACCTACACACCAATGCTGGCTACGATGGAAATGAAGTAATTGACAAAGCAGAGATTATTAAAATAATCACGGGCAGAGTTTCATTCCAAACTGCAATCTGATCACCTAGAAGACCCTTCTTCACCACAGAAGTTGGATATTGTAGTGCCAAAATTTCAAACTACACAAAGCCTTCTCGTACAATTCTAGCTCAGACTAGAAGAAAAGAACGACCACCAAGCTTTAAACTGACCCTGCTGTTTTCTTGAAGTCTAACAGTGGTAGGTCTGGCTATATTAGAGCCTATTCCTGATGATAAGTGTCTGTACTGACAATCATCTTACAGCAGCAGGTGACTGGATCTATGCTGGATGATCTTAAGTTTCGTAACTTGCTCCCATCCTTGACTATGGACAGCCTTCACCACTTTTAAACAAAAACCCTCATGCATCGAATCGCTTTTTCTCTCTTAAATTATGGCTTTTAGAGCCCTTTCCTTTCTTTCTCCTCCCATGCCATTTCCTTGTCTTCCCCATTTGTTCGTCTGGTTTTTAGTTTGAAAATCTAATTGTGATTCTTTATCCTTTAAAACTATATTATGATTTATTGTGCAAAGCCTCAATATGGTGGGGAGGAGGAGTGAGAGAGACTGTATGAAACCATCAGTCTAGAGAGTTTAGTTATGGTCTTTGATTAGATTATGAAAAATGAGTCTGCGTGCTGCCAGAATACCAGAGTCTTCCTCTGGTAGAGCCCTGTGTTCACAAACTTCTGTCTTTCCCAAAAATTATTTCTCTGCCCTTGTATGCAAATATTTGGACGACCACCTCCACCACATGGCAGCCCTTTTGGGAATGAGTTATGTTTTTTACCTCTGGTTCCAGAGTTGCATCAGCTCCAAGAGCACAAACTGAATGGCAAAACTTTTCTTTGTAGTTGGACCTCAATATCTAGCATTTTAGATTTATCTGTACTGTGCCTAAGCAATGCTGCATGAGACTCCATGCTTCACTTTTTTGCCTTCTACGGAAAGGCAGGGGATAATATGAAATGACTGTGTCCTTCATTAAAGAGTTATTTCTGATTTTTCCGAGTGTTCCACAAGGAAGAAGTGTGTTGTGGGTCCCTATGCCATTTTTATCTACTCTGCTTTGTTACACAGCTGCCTTGTCTCTCCCTCTGAATTTTTCTAGCAGTAGACCAAGAATAAATAACCCTGGTTTGGGGGGGAGCGGGGAGAGAGATTAGAATGAGGTTTTGGGACTCAAGGAACTCTCAGACATAGGCCATGTAATCACAACTGGCTGGAGGGCAGGTATGTGAAGAATTCTGCTACTGACAGGGTAAGCTCCTTGCTGTGTAAACAGCATGAGTGACAGACAGGATGAAAACACTGCAAAAGCAGCCTGGACTCTCCACTTTCACTGATTCACACAAGAACAGTACTGAATTTGCAGCTATAAACTAGCAGAAGCCCCAATTCCTAAAAGTTAGTTCTTTTTCAGGTGACCAAAACACAGAGATCTCCTTTTTCCTCCCTAGAGTTCCTTTTAGGAACATCATGTTGGTTCACTTGGTGATTAGCTGGCTGGGTGTTTGTTCAAGACATGCACCACCGTGCATTGGTGGGATCCATAAAGTGCACATCCAGAACCATTCTAATCTCCTAACACTTTAGAAAACACAGAGCACACCTTTTATTTCAGATCCAACTTAAAATACAACACTTTCATTAAACAGTGCTCTGATCAAAGACAACTGTTACAAGTTCATAAATGGGGACTGTCTTGAGATCACTACACTACTTTTCATTTCTGACCTTAATCAGAAACTTAATTTGCATTTCTAGTGTTGGAAAGGTCTATCTAATACACCAGCCATAATAGCCTGACAATCACAGTTTTTAGGCCACTGATATTAGAGGAATATCTTGTAGTTGCATTTTTTTTAAATAGTTAAAAGATTATGTTAAAATGTTTGACTTTTGCAGAGAAAACTTACATCCTTTCAAAGCTATGCTTTTTATGCACTCAAGTGCTGAAAATAAAATCATTGCATTTGTCAAAGAGACAAGGGTGAGGGATAGCTCAGTGGTTTGAGCATTGACCTGCTAAACCCAGGGTTGTGAGCTCAATCCTTGAGGGGACCAGTTGGGGATTGGCCCTACTTTGAGCAGGGGTTGGACTAGATGACCTCCTGAGGTCCCTTCCAACCCTATGATTCTAAGTGTGGTCTAGAGGTCAGAGCACTGCAATGGGGCCAGGAACTCTTGAGTTCTAGTCCCAAATCAGATTCCTTTTATGGCCTTGGATATGTCATTGAACAAATAGATGTGAATTTCAAAGTCACCTAGGTGACTTGGGAGCACAAGTTGCTAAGAAAGTCAATGGGACTGGTACTTCTAAATGACCTGGATGCTTTTGAAAACCCTACGCAATGTCGACACACACACACCACACCAGAAAGTTGGATACACAATTTACACATGTTGGGGGGGGGGGGGTGTACCCAAATGGAAGCAATCTTAATTTTCCTCTCATTCTTCACTTTATTAATCCCTAGCTGCTTTGACTGCACAAAGCCATCTTTTTATTTAGAAGACCTGTGAAAATCTACATAAATCCACAATATTCTTCTGCAAGTCCCCTGTAATTATTACCTTTTATAAAGCACAGACTGTGGTAGGTGCTTTGCAGAGCATATAAAATATGGTCCCTACTCTGAAGTGCTTACCAGAGACAAAATATAACAAACAGGCAGACAGACAATGGGAGGGAAGAGAATCAGACGTCAAAGTGTTACATAATAAGATAATGTGGTTGTTCTGGCTGGGTAGAGAATCATCATTTACTGATTAAATTATAAAGCAACAACAAAGCCAGAGGTTATGGAGCCTACTACATGAGTGAGTGGGGGAGGTTCTGTGTCCTGCAATGTGCAGGTGGTCATACTGGATGATCATGATAGGCCCTTCAAGCCTTAAAATCTATGAGTCTATCAGAAGGAGCCTCCACCAATTAGGATCAAAGAGAAAAAAATATTTCCCTTGAAATTGTGATGTAGGATCATTAAAGCAGCATAAGTTTATAATGGCAAGTTGTTAAGAATTGCAGTCTTGAAGCTGAAAATGACAACGTCAACTTTGTTTAAATATTTGTATCTATTCTAGTTAGAAGTATCATACTTCAATTGAAGTCAGCTTGGGTAAGTCTGAAAAATTGTGTTTTTTCAGTTTATTTTGTGCATTTGACAGTCCTTTGTGCATAGCGAGCTGTGTTCCATGCTGAGTTAATCATTTAGGCCTTCATCCTGCAACTGGATCTACGCACGGGTGGAACACAGCACCCACCAAGACCCACTCTGAAATCCCGGGCTCACTCGCATAAATCCAGTTGGAGGATTGGGACCTTTAGTTTCCCCCATTTATGTGCATCTGTCACAAAGCAAAAAGAAAGAAACATTTTTAAAAGAAAATGAGACTGTAAAATCACAAAAGTTTGCAGGGGTTCGAGAAGCATGTGTATTAAAAAAACCTTGTGTTTACGTTTGTTTTGTGTTTTTAATACTAGTTAGATTTCAAGACAACATCTCTTTAAACTTAGTCCAATTCAAGCAGTAGATAGCACAACAACAATACCAAGGGCCCTGTCAAGGTTAGGGATGTTTTCTGAAGATTTCCTACCATACCGCACATCTGTTAAGTTCCACGGACATTAGCAACACTAGGAATCCTAGTGCAAAAAGGATGTTGGTGTATTATGTCATGTAACCTGGCTCAGAGCAAGTCTAATCACATATGCCAGTCCACCTAAAGCTCCTAGTGTGGTGAACACCAGTGCAACTAAACAGGTGATAGCAATGTTTTCCTATCCTAGACTCGCCATTACTCCTGTTTGCATGCATGGAGCTTCACTCTCTGCAGTTACACCAATGTGCATCTGCACATCTTTGCCACCTTGTACCAGTTTCACTGCTTACCATGGGGTGACTATCATTCTGGTTCATGCCCCAGATGACTTTAAGGAGTGTTGTCAAGCCTGCATAGGCACCCTGGACACAGGGGTCTCCCAACCCTACCATGTAAAGTTGGAAGTGTCAGCACAATACAGATAGCTCAGCTTTCAGCATTGCATAGGGCAGAGAGCCAGTTACTCAGTAACAGCGCATGTGCCCCAACCCATGGGCATAAGAAAAGAGACATGGTATAGCCCCTCACTCCCCTGCACCAACCCACCCAATCATACACCCACATTATTTAACCCCCCCCCCCCACTAACAGCCCCCATCCCCAGTGGGCACAATACTCTCCTTTCTTCCCCCTCCCGCACAGTGGGCACAGCCCGCTCTCATCCCCAGCTGAGGGGCACAGGCACAGTCTCCCCAGCCGCCTCCTGGTTGGCAGGCACAGCCTCCCCATCCCTCTCCAGCTCTACTGTGTGTCCCCCTCCCCCAGCTAATGGGCACAGCCCCCTCCAGTGCCCTCCAGCCGACAGGCACAACCCCCATTTTCCCCAGCTTTACTGCCCTCCAAGCCACAGCTAACAGGCACAGCCTCCCCAGCCCTCTCCAGCTCTACTGTACCCCCCAGCCCCGGCTGACAGGCACAGCCCCCTGCCAGCCCCCCCCCCCCTCTCCCCCCCCCCCCCACCCCCAGCTGACAGGCACAGCCACCTGCCAACCCCCCACCCCGGCTGACAGGCACAGCCCCAGCGCAGCTTCACTCTCCCGCGCCGTCCCGCCCGGCGGGTACAGCCTCCCGCCGCCGCTCTCACCTGCCGCCCAGGAAGCGCCTGGCCAGCTCGGCCAGCTCCCCCGGCGCCTCGGCCCTGCTGAGGGCGGCGCTGCCCTGCGCGCTCCAGGGCAGGGGATCCTCCGGGCCCAGCGGGGACGGGAAGTCCCGCAGCAGGGAGCCCAGGACACCCCGGGCCGCCTCCGCGGGCATGGCCATGGCCGCGTTGGTACGGCCCGGCGGGCGCGGCAGCCACGTTGGTACGGCCCGGCGGGCGCGGCAGCCGCCTTGCCTGGAGCGGGGCGCGCCACGCGCCGCCGGGGGGGAGGGGTGTGCGGAGCGAGGCCACCAACCACCCGAGACGGCGGCTTTAAGGGCAACAGGGAGGGAGCGGGCAGAGGAGGGACCAGATGCAGGGGGCGGGGCCGAGGCTGAGGGGGCGGGGCCAGGAGCCATCCGGCTGGGGGTCGGTGGTGGCTGGGGCAGGGCACACACACACACTCTCTCTCTCTCTCTCTCTCTCTCTCTCCCCCCCCCGCCCCTTGCTGCACCAGTTATGAACATAAAAAAGTGGTTGAGGCCCAGCACCTCGTTCATTACAAATTAAGCATTGGCCAAGGCCCAGGGAGAGGCAGTGGGGGCTGACCTGGAGAACCCTTCTCCCCCCCCCCCTTTTCAATTTTTCCATCAAAGAAACAAAATATTGCAAAGGATTTTTTAAATGCTTCACACCACCTCATCGACAGTCTCACCCTGGGCTGCTGCTGGGGTCAGCCGCCTGATACTTTTCCACTGGAAAACGCTGATCCTCCAGCACAGAGCGTATGATTGGGTCAAACGTTTCACTGGAAAGCAGGCCAGCCAACTGCCCCCTTGGGCTCCTGCCTGCACCTGCCCATGCCCAGAGCCTCAACGGGTGCCCCTGAGGCTGCCCTGCTCCTTTTGAAATTCCCTCTGGAGATGGGAAATGGTCCACAGGCTACAAATTCTGGTTCCTTAGCTCTGCTGCTGAGCTGTTACCATAGCAATCCTGCTCAATAGGCACCCAGGGCAGCTTCAGACATGTGGTGCATGTGCTCAGTTGAGGAGCCAAGGGGACAAGATTCCCTTATGACCTCATGACTCAAGTAAGAATCTCCCCCTAAGCCTAAGGATACTGCACCACAACAGAGCTTTGGTTGGCCCTGTGAGGCAGATGATCCCACTCTAGAGCGCAGGGCCTGGTGCAGGGAGACATTTGCCCTCACCCTTAACCCACTGTAACGGGCAGGTACATCCATCAGGTTACAGGGACAGAAATTACTAATGGTTAGGAGTGGAAGTTAAGACATGCCGCTGTAAACTAAATATGTATGGCTCAGTGGGGTGCATAGTTTTGTGGGTTAGAAGCGGCATAGGTATATTTCACCTACACTTAGTCATTTCAAGCCCTGATGTTCATATCCCAACGTTGGCTTTCATTCCCCCTGAAATGATAAACCTTGTCTTTAAGAACACTCACGTTCTCAGCTATAGCAGGTTCCTTCCTCCCCCTGTGATTCTTTTCAAAATGGATATCTGCCACATCTTCAAGGAAATAAGGTACCCCTGCTGCACAGCCTTAACATCTGTTTAACTTTAAGCACATGAGTTCCATTGAGGTTAATGGAACTAGTCACCACATAAATGTAAGCATGTGCATAAGTCTTCGCAAGACTGGAGCTTAAGCAACTCAGTCCTACGTATTCCATTAATGAACCACTTGATCCTCTGTATTTCCATGTTTCTGCCATTTGTCTCCAGGTTTAGTTGTATCCTCTCCCCTACTATGTTAATGAGGGCAGTGTGACTGGGAAGTAGCACACTTTAAACCTATTCCAAAATCCTATTAAATAGTCCAACAGAAGGGGCAGCAGCAGATCCAGTCTATATTAATAATTTCAAACAACTTAAAATCAGAATTTGAACAAAAAGAGGAAACATTTATTAATCTGTCAGGATTTTTTTTTTAATCCGCTACTGAGGTGATCAAAAAATTTTCAAAGTTTGAAATTATTTTTGCAAAACTATTTTTAAAAGGTTTGTGTGACTGGGGTCCCAGTGGGGGCCAGCTTGGTCACTCAATTAGGGTGAACTGCAAAGAATGGGGCAGACAATCCCCAAAAAGCTGGTGGATATTCCAATACTTAGATTTACCAAGAAAGCATAAAACAGTTACTCAGAAGTCCGAACAACAGTTACCTTAAAATGATCCAGTCTCAGGCCTCCATCCACGTACCTAAGTCAAATACAATGAAGATGCCTGAAAATCTTATTTCATCATATAAAATAAAAGGTTCTACCAATCCCAAAGGGTCAGACACATTACCTCCCAGGTTAATGAAGGTTTCAGATCTTACCCAAATACACGCTACAGCCAATTCTTATTATCTAAACTAAAAATTTATTAAAAAACAAAAGAGTATGGTTAAAAGATCAATATACATACAGACGAGTTCAATTCATTGAGGTTCAGATTCATAGCAGAGATGGTGAGCTTTGTAGTTGCAAAGAGTTCTTTCAGAAATAGTTCATAGTCCAATGTCATTGCAGGGTGTTCCAGGCTAGGACTGGGATCTCAGTCCTTTTGCCTAAGCTTCCCCTGTATGAAGCCTCAAGCAGATCTGAGATGACAGAATCAGGACCCAACGATCTTTTATACAATTTCATGTCCTCTTTGACAAGTTGGGAGTTCCTCTGGGAACAAAAGGTCATTAGGATAACTTTGAAGGAGGTCCATCTCCAGTACTTAGCTATAGAATTACAATAAGGCAATTTGCTTGTACTTCCACCATTCACAGTATATTTCAAAGAGAGATGAATACCGAGATATCCCGTGTTTACAATTAATTTAAATGCTAGGATGTTCTTTTGATCTCTGAACTACCAGAATACAGCATAGACAGGGGCTGTTGATTACATTGTCGACCCTATTCATACATATGTAAATACCCACAAAACCACAAACATTATCCCTCCACATGTCTTTTGAGGGTTATTTATTTTGCAGGATGTTTAATCCTTTCTGGCCATGTGTCACAGTTTGATTTTCCCTCCTGTTTCTCAACCAGCTTTAGTAATTAATTAATTACTTTCATTAATACTGTTGACTTGTCATCAACCATTACTTTGAATTTCATCCTCATCTACTGGCACCTCTGATAGAGAAATGGAGAAGTATCTATGTGACCGAATGCACCCCTGTATTCACACCCGACACAGGGTGTGACCTGTATGCTGCTTGGCTGTTTGTGAGGGGTCCACGTTGGGAGTTACAGCAGCAAAGTTTTGTGAGGCACCCAGGCTGCGAGGCAGGTGGTGATGCAGCCCCAAACTGCTCTGGATTGTACCATGGGATGTCAATCTCTCTCTAAACTAGACAGAAATATCCCTCTGAGGTCCAAAGTTGGGATCTTAAAAGAGGACTAAAGAAGATAGACTGATAATACCTTTAGGCCCCTCTGGAAAAAAACAAAACAAAACAAAACTTACAAAAGAACACTGACACAAAGGCCCCTTTGCAAAGGTGCCCCTGTTCTCTGCAAAGAGCTCTCATCTCAGACCTGACAAACTCACTACATCAGATAGATTGCTTAAAGTATTGATCCATAAAGAGAAACATATAAAGTCTCTTTTGAAAGCTTGCAACTTATCAGTGTTCATAATCATGGCGTGATGGGCATACAGGTAGTATTTAAGGAATAATGTAACTATATTGAAGTTTATACTCTTATGGTTTTAAGGTTAAAAGGCATCACCAGAGAGTAATAGAAGGTGGCCATGAACTCTGCCATCCTCAGAACCGACAGCCAACTGCAAGCGGACATCGTCATCACCAATGAGGACCAGAAGAAGATCATGATGGTGGACGTCACAGTGCCCTTCGAGAACAGGACCCCGACCTTCCACGACACCCGAGTTAAAAAGGTGGAGAAATACACCCCTCTGGCTGAAACCTTGAGAGCTAACAGTTACCAGGTTCAGACACACGCTGATCGTCGGAGCCCTGGGCGCATGGGACCCCAGTAATGAGCAAGTATTGAGAGAACGTGGAATCAGTCAGTGCTACACTCGGCTGATGTGGCAACTCATGGTGTCGGCTGCAATCAGGTGGTCGAGGGACATCTATATAGAACACATCACCGGACATCGGCAATACCAGGAGGGATGAGCTGGAGTGCCAATGAGAAGCGCAGTTGTGAAAGTAACTAAAATACTTTCCTCATGGATTGTATTTTCTAAATGGACAACCTACCCTAAATTCTCAGTTACTGAGGGACAAATCTTCACTCACTGCTGTAGCTGCTTTCCACCACCAACTCTCTGTATAACTTTTCATGAGTGATGTACCCGAATACTTGGATCCTAATATCTAAACTGTATTCTTAAATTTATACACCTAAATTTGGGTTATTGCTGATTATGCACTATATGTAGCTTATGACTTTAAAAACAAACTTTGTATTTGTGGATAATCTAAGCACTCTACCCAGATGTACAGACAGTCTTCTCTTAACTGTGTACTATATAATTTTTAACATTGTTCCATGATAGCCTATTCATGCAGGAGGGAGTTGTCACCCCTCTTTGGTTAGCCAGCGATGTAATGCAAGGCTCAATTGTCTACCATTGCCCCATCATAAGACAGTTAATGGAAAACTATCAAAAAGACAACAGCAACAATCAAAACCAGCTCGAGGTAAAAAGTGAACATTGTAACAGACAGGGGATGGCCCTGTCTGTGAATAAAGACAAAAGACTGTTCTAGTATAACCCAGAATGGGTAGAGGCACTCTGGATTCATTAATTGAGGAGATATCTATTAGAGTGGGGATGTTTCCAAGGTTGGATCCTGGTTCCCATGAAGCCAGACAGCTCTGCGGCATATTGAACTTTGGGGGAAAACCTACTTTATTAGATAGGAAAGATGACTATTTGTAACTGTAGGCCCTAGTTTGCATTTTATTATTTCATTTTGTATTGTAACCATTTGTTTTCATCACTCTGTTTCTAATTGAATCTTTATTCTTTTAAAATAACCTACTTTTGTATTATTGTAAGTGCTCACAAGTGCTGTGTGTTATACAGGAGCGGTGGTTTATGGAAAACTGGTAAACTAGGGTACACAGCTCCTTTGGAGGCAGAGGACCCTCGGATTTTTGTGACTAGCAAACACCAGGAGCTGGATCACAGGGAAATGCTTCAAAGGGACTTGGGTGCCTCTATTGTTAACCTGCAAGGCAAAGACAGGGCTGGCATAGCCCAGAGGAGTGCCCTTGAGTGGCTA